GAGAGAGAGAGAGAGAGAGAGAGAGAGAGGGAGAAGTAGAGACAGAGAAAGACAAAGACAAACTTGAATTCCATACATGCCTATATTCATCTGACAGCATACCTACCCCCCTCTCCCCTCCATCTCCACATAGCCTGACACCACACAGCTTCCACCCCAACAACGGTAGCCCCTCCCTTCGTCCCTCCTCCCCTTCTCTCACCTCCCACCTTCTCTTATCCTTTTAACACCCCCCCCCCCGTCCATCTTCCTCAAAACCAGGTCTCCCCTCCCACCCATCCCCCAACTTTATATAAACAGTCACACTTCTTTTTAAGCCTCCACCCCGCCTATCCCTTCCCCTGGCCAGCTAGCGATAACTACGCATTCTTGTCTGGCGCGACTCGCCCTATACTACCATTGTGGGTGCAGTCTCTATAAAGGAATTCGGACCTTTATGTCGTGGTGTTAGGTAGGTGTAAGTGTTGGTGGAAAAAAAGTTTGTCCGCAACTCGACAGCTGGGCTGAATATTATGATCAGGTCTGATTATTGGAAGCCTAAAGTACCCAGACGTACTTATATATATATATAACGCTTCCCGTGTATGTCCTGGAATAGCTCTTTTCACATGCTGTGGGGTAATTTTTCTGTGCATTTATTTGATGTGTTTACACTATTGAAAGGTAATGAGAACATATGTTTTGGTCCAAGTTTGCGAACTTTAACTAAAAGTAAAAGGTTTTTTTTTGGTCCTTTTCTTATCCCCCTCCCCCCTCGTCTATTAGCCTGTGCATGGTAAAGAACGTCCCATTCACGAGGTCTTAAAAAAAATATATGAATGTGATTTCGTGCTGGTGTGAAATGAGGCATTTGTCGAAAAGTCACGATAACACCTGCCGTTATTTCCAATATAATTTTCAGCTACGTTTTGAAAACAGAAAGTGTCGCTGCCAGAGATTTCATTGCGAAAGAAATGCAAAACGTTATTCTATGAGCATTAAAAAAAATAATTTCAGGTTTAACTATTTGATTTATTCGTGGTTTGTGAAAACTTAAATGAGAAAAAGACATGTTTCTTCGTCGCCAGAGGAATATATTATACCAGGGATCTTGAAGATTACCACAGTACTGAAGCTTTTGGGTTTTGAGACTTGACTGCGTTTCATTTCTGTTTGTGTAAGGATGAAGAAAAGTTAAACATTCTCCCAATAGACTTTTATTAACTTATTAATACTACATTATTAACTTATTAATACTACATCTACGCGTTTATGCTTGTAATATTGAATTCAAATTTCAGTTACTAAGTAGGTGTTTTGGGTGGTCATTGACCATTTCTAACTTTTTCGTTCTTATAAAGGCCTATTCTTGTCTTTGTTTAGTTTTCTTTATTATTCCGGAGAGAATGGCTGCTTCGAATTTTCTTGACTAGATATCTAGCTCATGTGGAAATCCTTATTGCATTACATTATGATACTTCACCCAAGAAAAAGTTTTTCTCACCGTACCGAATCTAAAAACTTCTTTTGAAAATAAGAGGATTTGAACTCACTCTCACGTGAGCAATGTTGAGCCTCGGATAGGCTAAGTATAATCATTTACTCTTTTAATCCCGAGCTTCGCACCGAAGTTTATAATTTCATGTTCTTGTGTAATTGAATTGTACGCAAGGTTTTTAATCTTAGATCTAGATCTAATCTATGTCTTGTAAATCCACAGACCGCTGAAACAACAGCTTGGAGTAAAAAAACTCAAAGTTTTCCTAAGATCTGTTTTTCCTGGAGTATAATTATGTACTGACACCCTCGCCCCCCCAAAACGGAAAGGGATTGAACTGGACTTATATTTTCCCTTTTTAAGGTGAGTTGCTGTCTTTTCATCAGTACTTCTTTTCAACGATAATATTCAGTTTAAAAATATGCCCCCCCCCCTCAGTGCCTTATTTCAAACCAGTTCTTTCTTTCGTCTGTTTTCCTCCCTTGTCGTGTAATTGTTAGGACGGTTCTTATAAAACCCATTGTAAGTACTGGGGACATAGCAGTGTCAAAAGTGGCGTCCGTGGTGTAGCAGTTAGGTGCTTCACTGCCGCACGCAGGAGACCCGAGTTCGATTCCCGAGTGGGAAGACAATTTCATCGAGTATCGCGGTCTTTTTTTTTGGGGGGGGGGGTTTAGTAAGAGTTTTACGGCGCTCGCAACTGCATAAGGTCATATGAGCGCGCTATCTCGGTCTTTCTGCTGGAATGTTGTGTCCATGTCAGCCTGGGTTGACCCTGACAGGGGAGGTCGAATGCGAGTCTCCTGTGTGTGACGTCAAAGCGCCTAACCGTTACGTCACAGACGCGTTATAATCTTTGTAAGAGCTAAGAGGTTTCATTGTTCTTAAACAATCTAATTCATTTCTGACCAAAAAAATCCGAATACGTTAATCTTTTTTGCAAAGGGGCCGAAATCATGCGCAGCAACCACAATTTTTTTTTCTTTCAGAGAGCTTTCATTCGCTCGTCTCACATTGCAGTTTTCTCGTCACGTTTTGGAAAGACTTCCGTAACGAAGGACCACCCCAACAAATACAATAAAGAAGAGACCTAGATCTATCCCTAACCCTACCCCTACCCTTTCCCTTACACCTACCCTACTGCTACCCCAAACCCTAAACCTAACCCAACCCCTACCCCTTTCCCTTCCCCACACCTTAACCCTACCCCAAACCCTGACCCTCTATTCTACTCTGTTTCATCGTGGTCACTCGTTACGGAATTCCCCCCGGTTTTCTCAGCGTTTCATTGGATGTGGAATGGAGCAAACCATTATAGTAGGGGTTCTTTTGGGGTTTCGCTCTTCTCTCTGGTATGACTTTGGTACCCCGACGTTACATGAGTTCGTCGCTTTTGAGACAGGGCTTCTGGATAAGGCATACTTTGAGTCTAGATAGAGGAGGGCAAAAACAAGGCAAGGAAGATGCATCACTGTAATTGTCAAACACATGCATAACAACTTATAGGAAGAGTTTGTGACATCAAAAAGTGTCTTTTTAAAATAAAAAGTTGATCGTTAAATTCTTAATCTGTAATAATATGCTGTTAAAACAAAACTGATTCATAGTGACATAAATGTGTTAAAGAGCATCATGTTTTTGGGACAACGTATATTTAGCAGTTTGTTTCCACATGCGATGCAATTAAACTATTGGATAACATGGTTGAATGTGGGGGAAGGGGGGGGGGCGGACAATGTTGAGGGGGAGGGTGTCACCAACTGTTTGAAGTTTTGCGATTCGTGCTGGCGTGCAGTGCGTCTTTCTGTATCAAACAAGACACATTTAGACCAACGTCTTCACAATACATACTATGTGCTCTAATTGCCCTACAAACTATTTTGACACTTCCACGACTTTCTTGAGTCAGTGACACTTGCAAATGAAAGAGAAAAAAAGAAAAGAAGAAGAGAGAAAGAATTTTAAAAACTAACAAAGAAACACAGAAAGAATAGATGGATAGCCAAAGTATTATATTCAGATATAAGACATAGGACAAATTCGAAGGAAATGAGAAAGTTGTAGTACTCAGTCTGTCTCTCAGGTACGATTTGTCGACAACTGATAAACAAACTAGATCTACTTTTACAACTGTTTGTCTGTTTTTAACGACAATAGCGTTGATGAAACCCTGTCTCTTTGAACCGGAACCAATCACTTCATTAAATTAAAACTCTTTAACCATGCAATTTAAAATCACGTTTCCGCGTAATTCCCACGTGTCTGTTGAAATGCGACCCGACACATTACCTTTTTGAAACTGCTTGTTTCGTGCCAAACTGATCAATAACGGATTACCCAGACGTAGAATTCATTTATCTTAGACTTCTGGGTCTAACTGAAGGCTCGTTAGCTCGTACTTTTTTATATTCTGCCTGTACCATAATACAATAATAACTTCGCATCGGACAGTGCTACCGTCCAGCCAATGTTACGAACCTCGACTACCGGACGCTGCCACAGTCCAGACATGGTTAAAGTGTGTCGATGGCTAGCGGGAGTTCGTCTATTTCATGCATTATCAAATAATCCCTTTAGCCAACTTGAATATTTGTGTCTTTCAAAGCGTAACGCTAGACACTTGGCTGCCTCAGAATTATAAAGTTCTATATCTGACATTTTTGGCCGTTTTGAGTTACTAAGACCATGAGGTCAGAAACCAAATTTTGCTCTCTCAAAATCGTAAGCATATTTGGAGTCGTTATCAAGACATTCCTAGAGCTGCATTCGAAAAAACTGGACATAATATTTTAAAACTCAGAACATTTGACATCAAATTTCTCAAAACGGTGTGCTTCTAGGGAAGCTGAGAATGTTTCTGAGTGTTCTATGGTCTGCTGGGGTAATAATAACAATAATATAATGTAAAGCGCATAGAGCTTGCTGTAGAGCGGGGTTATGCACTGTACAAAAGCTATTTATTATTTATTATAATTAATTCTGAGGTAGTAACAACTTGTCTAAAGATCTTCCCACGTTTCCCCCCTCTCCCCACGCGATGGTTTTCCTCTCCTTACAGCAGCCACTACCACCACCCGCATCTGCCTCGCACCCCGATTACACTTGTACAGACAGAAAGTATTACACATTTATGTCATCTAAAGTCTTTCCACTCTGGAAGTGACCGCTTATCCTGAGATTTCCCCACAAAGTGATATTTACTCCCATGTGGTAAGGTAGCCGTTAAAGTGTTGCCAACCACACCAACTGACGCCACACCTTCACTACCTATATGATACACTTTTCCTTACGTTTGGGTCTGTTTATTCTGTTACCTCGCGTAGCGCGGCGTTGCAATTAAGTTCACCTAAGAGTAATTTTAACGTGCTTACCACTGAGTGTTTCAATGAAAAGGGACCATTTAGTGCAAATTGTACTTATTATGGGAGGAAATAATTGACCAAGAGAGAGCTGGCATTTTCCTGTTTCCACGTAACGGGAAGTGGTTATCATTCTTGACCACCTTAGGGCGACGGGTGGTCAGTTTGACTCGTCCGTTAGAAAATTGGAGAGAGAGAGAGAGAAAGAGAGAGAGAGAGAGAGAGAGAGAGTTGTGTGTGTGTATGTGTGTGTATGTGTGTTTGTGTGTGTGTGTG